GGAATTTTCAAATATCTCGACACTTGTGCCACCTAGCGGATTAAATCTACTTTCATATTGCATTGGGTTCGAAGCTTAGTTTGAAGTCTCAAGTCTTTAGGTCATCGGAAAGTTGGTTAAGAACTAATTGCAAGATTTAATTACACACAAGTGAAATATATTTCTGAAAAAAAAATGGCAAAAACAACGTTCTTCGTAATAATTTTGTTTCTGGCTCGAAATCTATATTTGAGCCAGCTGTTTCAGAAGCCGCCATAGATTTCCTTGAATTATTTTGGATAAAGCGTTCATTTGCACTTAGAACAGTCGCAAATCCTTTGCTCTAATTCTTGTTGCTCCTTTCATTATGGTACGGTCTACCAAGCAGTCAAAAACTTTCGAATAACGAGTTTTAAGCAAATCCGTTCAATTTTAATGCACCTATTTTCTAATGATATTTTCCACGTTCCTTGTTACCAATTATGTCCTTCTTTGAATCAAATTTATACAAACAAATAAAAAAAGAGCACATCTTTTTCTAAAAGCTTCAACGAAAAAGTGAAAACCCGGAGTTTTGGGAGATAAGTTCCCTTTTAACTGTCTAGGTAACATATTTAATACTGTCGGTCACAGCAATACTTCTACAGCTTATTCTTCAATGCTTGAGCTAATGAAAATATGCCTTTAAGCCATACTAAACACAAATGTACGTACACACATTCACGACCCCAACATATGCCTCTATATGGATAGTCTTATATAGAACCTCATATGCAATACACTTATGCATGCATGTACCTCTAAGTATAGATTATTTACTTATTCTCTCCATCCAATCCATTGTTTATTGAAGATTTTTGCACCACAACTGCTGCAGCTATTTTTTTCTTTCCCTTTACTATCGGCGCTTTTGTATTAGTTACTCTTATTTGTTGCTTCTACCCATTTGAGCATATACCTTGTTTATTCAGCGCTTATGTTCACCACTCCAAATGAACAAAAAAAAAGAAAATCGTATATGAAAGCCTGCAAAATCCTTGCGCAATGTGCACTTCAAGGTTCCGTAGTTTAGCTGCAACAATTGTGCAATCAGGGTGAAGGTGCAAGCGTACCTAAGCGAAGCTGATAATGGCAATGGCTGTCAACGGTGTTGTTTTATGGTAAAGTTTTGAAATCTATTTTTGTTTTCAAAATTCGCTAATCTACATACATATACACATATTTACTTTGTTTGAAAAGGTTAGTATTTTCATGTGCATACATATACATATATGTACATATTATTACACTTTATACTTCTGAGCAAATTCTCAAACTGATACAAGAAAAATTCAGCTGCATCTAACATAGGTAAGGAGAGGGTAGGTACTCTAACCAAGAACTAACTAACTCAAGAAGCTCCACATTAGCAAAAAGAAACCGCGTTGTTGTACCACTGGCGAAAGTCATTTAATTCTTCCCTTCCATTTTTGACTAAAAAATAAATACACAAAACATGCGAAACTATCACCGATCGAAGGGCCAAATATTTTGGATGAACTTTCGGAACATCTCATGTTTTGAAATTACACAAAAAACGCCGAAAACGCGTAAAATGAACTTTGAGTCGTAGTTTACGAATCTGTAAAAAAATAGAAAATTTTTTGTGTTTTTTTTTTCATTTGTAAATATTAAGAAAGTCCAGAAAATCTAATTTAGATTAATTATGAGCAGGACAGAATTTTAGTCATTCGCCATGTACATGGTCATATTTTTACATACTCGTACATGGCGTTTGAGTAACATTTTCCATGTTAAAGTTTGAGTTATGTTTCGTTAATAATGAAAATGTCTTGAGAAAAATACCTCATCTAGAAAAATGGTATAGAGATCCGTAATCTAGGTCCCAAAATTATGTTGACGTGTCTCGGCGTTTTTTGGTTGATCTACGCTTTCATACTTTAACTGCTCAACCAATCAGCATGGAATTTTGCACACTAATGTCATTTAGCCGAACTTTAAAATTAGGATAGTCATAAAAGGGACGAGGAGGTGAGATGAGTATATGATGATATGAAATTTATAACAACTTATAACTATCCATAAACGGCATCTTAGATCTTAGCCATGCAAAGCAATACTAAAGCTGATGGATGTTATAGACTTAGAGGAGTTTAGTATAGGCAAAGCGGTGTGGCGGCGCTAATATACGTGAAGTTTATATTCTATCCTACCTTTTGGTATATGTACATATGTATATGTATATAACCAAAAAGCGTTTGTTACGCTTACAAGCCTTAACTGCTCAACCGATCATAGTGGGATTTTGTATAAACGTTATCTTGGTCTTAGGGTACATACCTTTTATTCAGGAAAAATGACTCTTTATATGTTACCAGTACAGACTAATCAGTATATGTTAATAATATAGACCACACAATTTTTACTTTACGAGAATACCAAAAACAATACATATATAAGAACTAAAATGTATGTATACCGTTTATTAGATCACGTAATCTTTCCGAGATATTTTTTATTTTTTTTATGAAAAAAAATCAAACTTTAACAAGTCGGGTGAATAAATTAAGCAATTTTGAATGGTTAAATGAAAATTTGTAATAATTTTAATATGAAATAGAAGCAGGAAATAATATTACTCATACGCTAGATCAGAGGTTCCCAAACTTTTTTTCTCGTATACCCCTTTCAAAACAGTAATGGTTTCGGTGGACCTCCGCTCCTAAATTTCTAGCATATTCGCAAAGCTCGTCAACAAATATGAAGATTAGATCTAACGATGTAAGTTTGCATCGCGGGTGAATTCCAAGCTAAATCCGGAGTGGAAAAAATAAAAATAAAATATTTTGTTATTAAAATTACACACTTGTCTCATTGCCAGGTACTCCCGCGTGACCTGGCACCCAGAGTAAAGCAAGCTCGTTATGTTTGCCAACATAATTTATTCAATACTTGCATTTCCGAACTAGTTTGAAAGAACTTAGATAGAGGGCTGGCCAATACGTTAAGTGCAGCCTGACTGTCCCTGCGGACAGCCCTCCTACACCTTTTTTCCTACACGTAGTCCATGGCTTTGAGGATTGCATATACCTCAGCCTGGAAGACCGAAGCATATTCGCCAAGAGAAAAGTGAAGATTATTACCATTAATTCGAAAAATACCCCAGATCCTGGCCCAGAGCCAGTTTTGGAGCCATCAGTAATTTGTGAGTCCTAGGCAACTCAACATTATAAAAACCGTTTTGTCTGCAAACCAAACTTGGCAAGGGATGGCGGAAATTCGTTCCAAAATAAATCATTATAAAACCTCTTCAACAAAGGTAATGGTGGCTACTACCCTGTGGAATTGAATAGACTCAAATGCTCAAATCTCTGCCGCCAGCAATTTCCGCCTCACCCCACTGAGAGTTATACCAACAGCCGTTTCTTTTTAGTCTGCATGTGGCTTTTTAGACATCTAAACGTATGAAGACACAAAGTGACGCTAAGTGCAGAAGTGCATCAAGAGCACTATACACCACTCAAAAAACTTTAAGTTAAATATAGAGGCTACCATGCAACCATAAGATAAATTTTCGTGGACCCTCACTTACAACACGTGTACCCCCATATTTTTTGTCACGCCAACGTATACCCCCGTCGAGTCTCCCGTCTCCTATGGTTCCCCTGGAGGTCCACCTGGACCACTTTGGGAATCACTCGATAGATCATACATAGCCCTACTCTTACATAATCGTACATGGCGTATGAGTAACATTTTCCATATTATATGTAATTTGAATTCGTTCTCATTCGCAATGCAAACTTAAAATTCAAATATCTTGGAAAAATTACCTTATACAGATACGATAGCGTCCCTATAGTGTTATTGGTTTTTCATTTTTGAAATGCTTTGAAAATGTCATTCTAATTTTTCCGTGAATTCGCCACGGATCCGGGTAGGAAAAATAATATAAATAAACTTTTAGTTTTTTTTTGGTGTGTTTGAACAGGGTTGTCGCTTGTTTTATAAAATGCAAATAATTTAATAATTTATATGAACTATTACAAAATGGATATGAATCAATTGCTGTTTTATAAAATTTCGAATAGGGTTGCCATCTATTTCAAAAGTCGAAGAAAGGCTTCATATCTAAACACTGTAGGAACGTTGCCACCCGTTTAATTCAAGTAAATTTAATCGAATTGGTTAATTGAAATGCAAGTATGTTTCACATAATTGGTGTCAGACGAAAGAGGATTAAAGAGGATTGTTGTTTGAAAATATTTTTAAGTGGGTTAAAAACAAGAAAAATGTAAAAGATATCCTAACTTTCTGGCTAAGTTTGTTCAGTTTTAGTGAAAGAAATTAGGCATAACGTAACACCCAGAAATCTCATACATTCAGCGAAGTGGGTGTGGGTAATCTAGTTCCACATAAAAATTTAAAAAAATTATACATCAGATTTGCATTTATCCATTAAAAAAATGGAAAATGCCTTTGAAAACATAAATTCTTAGAATTACCACGGAGCATAGCCGTGAGAAAGGTCTTCATAAAGTGTGGCATTCTCTATAGCCAAAGGTTCGACAGCATTAAAACTTCATTTATGAAGTAAAGAAAACATAAAAGGTATGCAGATCGTTTTTTACAAAGAAAAAAAAAAAACAGAAATTCTAAGTACCGTTATTCACATATATACTCAAATGCCAATAAACGCTCTCATTTTCTAATAAATCTTTATTTCTTTTGCAAATTTAATTTAATATTAAAAAACATCCTTGTGTGGTTGTGGTTTCATTTTTTCCGGTGCGTTTATTTATTCAATTAAAAATAATTACACAAAATTTTTCATTGAAAATGGACACAAGCTTAATAAAATGTTTAAATAAAATAAATCAATGAACTTCACACTTTATTCTCAATTAATTGTTATTAATGACATTTCCTCCCATTTTCCCAAAACAATCAATTTACTACAATATTTTGAAGCAATTGCAATTTCACTAATTCGCAATAAATTCAGGAAATAAAATATTTACCGTTCAATGGTTTTTATTTCGATTCGTTGCCGGCTGTAAGCTGCTGTCGAGTACTTTTTTTTTTATATACGCCGCTTCGTATTCAATGCACTTCTTCACAACACTTTTATGCGTAATAACTTTTTATATAACAATTTTCAATCCATTTGCTTCGCTGCAACTGCCACCAACTACGAATGCCAACGTGCATTCACACACATGCACACGCGATAAAAAGTAGGTAGTATTTCACACGCAATCCTCACTGGGCTGTGCAGGTGTGGGAATACGAGTAGTTGATATATGTATGTACTTAGATAACACAAAAAACAAACATCGATTACGTAGTGTATTTGTTTGCCGAATGATTCACTTTTGGGCTCTTACGGCAAGCAACTAAGCACTTTCAATTGATTGCAGTGCTTTCACAAAAAAAAAATACCACAAAAAAAGGAGCGAGAATGTATTTGTGACGTAAAGGAGTATAGGCGGCTCAATTAATCGGCGATGCACACAGCCTAGCTCAGTGTGAATGTGATAGTATTTTTTGCCTTCATACACTTGCCACCTAAAGGGGCTCGACTAACAAATTACTCAATTATTTCACAATGGCCCCTTAATAAAACACAACAACAACCACAACATGGCGGCTACGCAGCGCCAGCCAGCTTAGCTTAAAAAATCCATACTAAATTCCTCAGTTTCGGTTACTCTTCTACTAAACACTGTATTTTTTGTTAGGTTTACAACCCACTTGGTTGCTCAAAAATTTACACAAATGCACAAAGTAAATTGTTTACGCAACAACAATTCACGCACGCATGCACTCTGCACAGTTGCTCAACACAGCAGCACTTCGCGCGCAAAGTTTTTTCAGAGTTGTTTTCGCTACGCGTTCAGTAAGTCAACTAATCGCTCGATTGCTACCACAAAAGTATTTGCAAGTTTCCATAAGGCCGCAATTCGCCGTAAGCGCCAATTCGTCGCACAATTAACTGAGCGGCGGCTGTCCGCTCGGCTGCTTTGATATCCTTTCGTTTCCGAATTTCGGCTCACACCTTGTTGATATCGTGCATGTAAAATGTCCTGTGCATACACACTCACACTCGCTCATTTGTGGCGAATTCGTTTATGTGGGTGTTCCTATATTTCCTTTTGTTTATCTCCTCTTTACCGCTATCAGTGTGGCGTTGTCTTTTCAGTTTTTACCTACGTGTATCTTACTTTTTGCTGCTCTTCATTATTTTAATCTTAATTCTCTATTACTCTCTTTCGCTCTCTTCGCTTCACATCAATGCTTCTCTCTGCCGGCTTCAGTTGTTGTTTACATTTTTAATTTTCCTTTTTTTGCTTTGCAATTTATTTTTGTTATCCTTTGTTGCTTTTGGCGTTATTGTTGATGTTGACTATTTTTGTTGTTGCCATTTTATCTACTAGCCTTTAACGGTATCATGGCTTCTCGCCGGCGCATTCGTAGCACAAGTAGCTGTGAAATTTTACTCCTTCGCTTGCAGGCAATGAACTTTTATTGCTTTCGCTTGCAGGTGTTTTCGTCTTTGCCAAAGCGCAATCGCTGGGACTTGTGAATGTCGTCGTTTTCGCCAAGAAATTTATAATTCAAAATTTTTACATACAAATTTTATCGATTTTTTGAACCTGAAAGTTGGATGAACGCAGGCCATTTAGTATAAAAAGCTATGCAGTTTAAGACGATTTTGACTTAATTATGTTTAATGGTGCATTTATATAAAATGCCAGACGCACATAATTATGCCATCATTAGCAAGCAATTATCTGAAGGATATAAACTGCAACACTCATTTCTTACTTCGCTTAATGCTTATGCTACAGGGATTGGCGGCTGGAAGCAGCAGACTTGGTGCAATGGGGGCTAGAGGGTATGCAGTTACAGTTGCACGACCAGGCCTTGTTGGTCACCGAAATTTGCGATATTTGTTTGCCAGGAGGTGCAGTGGCAAGTGGGTGTCTGTCTTGGAACGAGTGGCTCGCTGTAGTGTAATGGTGAGCAGTACGTGCTACCATTCCGCAGGACCTGGATTCAAGTTCAATTTCCGACCAACATCAAAGATAACAAAAAATTCTCTAATATCAATCGCCTCCGGCAAACCTCCGACTGTGTTTTTTCTATGAGAAACAGCTTCTCATAAAAATACAATCGCCATTCGGAGTCGGCGTAAAATGGTGGGTCCCTCCCCTTTGTGTGACAACATCAAGGCGCACGCCACAAATCGGAAGAGAAGCTCGGCCAAACACTAACATATTGTGCAAAAAAAATGCACCCAGAAACACAAGCAAAAGCTGCAAATCAAAGTGCACTGAAAACATATTCGGGAGCTATGTTGGATCCAAATAGAAAGCCAAAGAAGAAAGCGAGATGTATATTTCCTAATAAATAGAAAAAAAGCAAAGAATGTCTCGCTAGTGCAGAGAAAGATGCAAAATATGTGAGTGCGAAGAGGTTGAAATGGATCCCGAAAGGAATATTCAAAGTAAATTTCAGAAGGAATCTGGTGTTAAAGCGGATTTGATTAATATGATCTGCAGGACTGAGCCTCTGAAATTATCAAAATAAGAACGTATAGTTGCTACCTTATCCCAATGATTGCGCTTCGCAACGCCATAAATCGCAGATGATGGAAGGATGCGCAACATACATATATGAGCTTCAAACCTTTTTTTTTGTCACGCTCAGATTCTTGGCAAGTTTTAACATAGCGCATCACATTTATGTTTTAGGCACAAAAGTTCTTCCCTGAAATTATTTAATACTGTACACGACGGCGATAATATTTGGCATTTCACAAATAACACTGACGCTTAAATAAAACAAAAAACGCCAAACCACGCAAAATTAATTTTGGGTCTTATTTTATGCGTCTGTGTGCCGTTTTTCTAGACGAGGTCATTTTGCCAAGATATTTTCATTTTAAGTTTGCATGTACGATATGGCGTATGAGTAACATTATTGCGGTTTTCCATTTGACCATTCACAATTGTTCATTTATCCATCGATTTTCATCGTTAGTAGCTCGTTTTTTTTTTCTTGCAAAAGAAAGAAAAAAAATACGACAGATTTGTTTTTATTTTAATTTTTTCCTTGAGAAATGTTTGATTTTTTTTTTTTAGTATAAATGAAAATATTTTCGGAAATTGACCTGATCTGGAAAAACGACCCAATACTAAACTTACTTGTTTCGGCATTTTCTTGTGTCATTTCAAAACTAGAGATTTTCCGCACAGTGTAATTTAATGATGGACTTTATCGAGACACAGAAAACCACAAATGCCATTTCAAGACAAAATTTAAAGTTATTTTTTTAACTCAAAATAACCCATAAGATTTACTTTTTGTACATTTTAATTGGCATTCTTTATAATGCAATGTAATGCTTCAATAGGCAGTTTAACGAAAGAAATTTAAGTGAAAACACATGAAAACATACAACAAAAAATCACTGGTTTGCAAGCGTGAATTGTTAAAATTAGCAAACTTTAAGAAGTTGTAAACACACAAACCAAAAATTTTTAACAATCTGTTGATTTGTGTGTACTACTTCATACTTGTAGAAAAAGCAGACATATATGTCGGTATGTATATGTTTATATGTAACCTTATCCTGCTGGCTAGTACCATCCGACTATGGTAAATTTTGGCTTTAGTAGACGGATATATATGTATGTACCTTAGGGTGGCCCTTAAAATGAAATTTTAAGTCTCACCCCCTCAGTCGCTAATACAACGGTCAAAGATATCACATATAAATTTTAGTCCCGATTGGAGACGGTTAAGGCGTATCGCACGATACTCAAAAAATTTAAATAAATTTTTTTTTCATCTAATACCCAAAATCGATACTACTGTAGGCGCAGATATCACGTATAAATTTTATTCCCTATTGGAGTCGGTTAAGGCGTGTTGCACAGGGGTCAAAGTTCAGATTCCCCTATGGAGACTCAAAAAATTTAAATTAATTTTTTTTTACGCCTTACCCTACTCAAAGGGGGACCAAAATTTATATGTAACATCTTCGACGTTAGTAGTATCGATTTTGGGTATTAGATGAAAAAAATATTAATTTTAATTTTTTGAGTCTCCATAGAGGAATCTGAACTTTGACCCCTGTGCGACACGCCTAAACCGTATCCGATCGGGACCAAAATTTTTGTGTGATATCTTTGACTATATTAGCATCGATGTGGGGGTTGACGTTTAGGAAATCTGATGTAATAATGTACTTAATACATTTAAGAACCACCCTATTGTACCTATGTACATACATGTTTTATCTTTGCTATAATACATACACTTTCATTTTTCTAAAGTTTTTCACCACTCTGAACTTAAAACAAGGCATTTTCTCTGATTGCTTTGAATATATTTGCAGCTTTTCAACAAAAGCTCTGTCGAAAGCTAATAATATGAGGGGAACAAAAACATAAAGGATACACATTATACATACAGTTAGTACTAAAATTTTTGTCTTCTTTTATTTAAGTAGATGTATTGCGCTACGGCATAACCAACGCCTTCTTTTACGGGATAAATTAAAACTTCCAACCGATGTTTTCTCAAAACTGTTATTGTGGCGAAATGAGTTTAAAAAATTATTGGCTGGTTTATACAACTTTATTAAGTAAATTTTCTCCTCTAAGAACTTTAAAATTTAGCTGTCATACAGATTAATCTTCGAGTTTCATTATGAAGAACCGAAAATTCTAATTAGAAAATTAATGTGTATGAACTAAATTTTTAATTTTTTGTTTAATAATTGCCCTTCACATACGACAAGATTCAAAAAAGACTATGGAAGACATCTTTCAATTCAAAAACAAAGTATCATAACCTTGTTATTAGTTCATACTCCTTTTTACGTTTGGAGTAAATAAAATTAGAATTAAGACTATACGAAGGAAATACTGGTCCACATTTGAGTCAAGCCTTTTTTATTGAACAACAAATTATTTTTTACCTGTTATATTTCTGATACAATTATAATGGTACAAGTTTTTTATTTAATTTTAGGTAACTGAAATAAAAAATAAATAGCCTGAGCAGCATACTATCTTGCTATTAGTGTACCTGTTAAATTCAAAAAATTCGCACACTAAAGGCTAATGTATAATTCATACTAGCGGCGCTTTTTCCATATAGTCGAATAGCTTTAGCGGTACATACAAAGCTTTCATACCGATTCAACCAAAGTAATAGAACTTAACAATATATTTCCTTTCAGCTATTCAGCACTTTAGTGAGCTTTTTTTGTTTTTGCCTCTAGTACTCATTCTCTAATCCTTTTTAATGTACATATCTTACTTTTATTATACTATCAGCAGTAAAAAACTTTAATATGCTGCTGACATTGACAGGAAGTTGCTAATAAAATTTTATTAATGATTATTTGCGTCTACTTATACCCTTACAAGGCAATCGATGGGAGGTTGTATATTGAATTTTCATAGTACAAATTTTTTACAACTTTTTTATATATACCTAAGCTAACTGTGCCCATGACATAATTTGCTGCATGTTTTTTATGTTAATCGGTTACACGCGCTTGCGTGTGCGTGCACGTTAAAAAATATTTTAGTTTTAAGATATTTCCTCTGGTGTGAGGATTTCAAAAGTGGGACCTGTTGCAGTCAGAAAAGAACTTCTATTGAGAATTTTATTCTACTGTTTATCTTACATTACAAACCTATTTTTTAATGGGTTCATTTTCTGTAAATAATTGCCTTTAAATAAATCCTAAGGTAACCCGCGACTGCATTATTCTAGTGGCACAAACAATTGAGTAGATATCTGGTGCGAAATCAGCCCAGCAATTTACTTACTTATTTGAATCCTTTTGATAGTTTGTCGCTAGGTATCACAAA